TTTTTTTGATTGAACTGAACGCATTCTCGATACAAATTTCTAGACACCCGCACTCTGTGATTGCATAAGTGTTCAAATCTGTACAACTGTACAAATCGTGTGAATCCTGCATAAGTCTACGAACTAAAGCTGTAATAAATGTATAAAATTAAAGTGAAAAATAATTAAGAAGAAAAGGTCAGTGCTCAATGACCAAATTAAGCTGAATTATTACAAAAATGCTTACTCATAATATAAATTATCTTAATCTTGCATTATGAAGTGCCATCAAGTTAATTAGCTGCAAATCAATAGATTTCTACACTAGTAAGCTTATTCTTTATACTTAAGGGCTGTTTACAGCTCTCAAGAAAAATCACAGGAAATATTTTTCATTATTTCTGTTGATTGAAAAAGTACTTTGTTTTTGAAGAAATAAATTATTCTTTTTCTTGAGAGCTGCAAACTGATTTAGGAAATCTGGATTGAAGAAAATTTCGTTTCCATTTCTTGTGCGTCATTTTATATCTGTGCATTTTTGACAGACTAAGCGTTGAAGTTTCGTAAGTCCGACCTGTGGGAACTTAACTTCTTCATTCTTCAATCAGGCGCGTGCAGAATTTTATAGGAAATGGTTTCAAACACCTTTCTTTCTAATTTGGGCTTGACTCCGAATTTTCAGTCCATTAGCTTCTGGCAGGTCTAATATCGCATATGGGCAGTGTAATGTGAAAAAAATACATACATCTATGTGTTTAGGTAGATATGCACCTATCGAAATCACTTACTTTATCGCGTCCACAATCATTTGTCTTGTTGAGCAAATCGTTTGAAAAGTGTTGTAAAGGTGCAGCAAGGAAAAAAATAAATTTTTAAGCTCCAACAACGTTTAAAAATCCACACCAGTTTAATTTGATAAATGTTCAGCTTTTAACGCGTTAGTGTGACATTTAACCAATGTTTTGAGGCAACTCCCTGCAGACAATCTAAGAAGACAGAAAACATGGCAAACAACACAGGCGCGATACACAACTACAACGACAACTAAAACTACAACACGTAACAAAAAAAAAAAAATACTGAACTATCTGCTTGGCAAGTCAAGTCGCTCATCTTCTTCACCAATCCATTTATTTGCCGCTTCGGTTGCCCATGGCAAGTTGCTGTTGTACAGCCTAACGGTTCGATTGACTGGCTGTTACGGTTGCCCTGAAGTCATGCCACATGTCATGTTCAATTGCAGACAACATTAACTCTCTGCTGCTTGCTGCAAATGTCGTGCAGTCCTTGTTTGCTGTAATCCTTTTGTTTCTCCTACATACACATACATATAGGTGTTGTTGTTGCAAGGCGCAGCGTAGCCATAACATTTTGTCATCTGCTGCAACTAACGACTCACCCACTAACTGACAGACACACCAATTGACTAACTCACTGTAGTACGTAGTTAACGTTTTTCACATTTCCATCACGCATAAAACGTTATTGCATATTTGCGGGCGTTCGCAAGGAAGGATTAGAAAAGTTACTATTGTGTAGCGCGTCTTCGCTTGCGCGTGTATTTGTAAACTTGTTTTTCATGCTCGCTTAAATGCCATCTATTGATTTGATTGCGGAAGTGCTTTCAGTCTGGATTAATAGTCATCGTTTGCAAACAGTTCGGTTATGTGTTAACTGCGCTGATATTATCGATTGTCGCGGCCAAAACGTTGTGGTGGTAGAGAGTTCAATAAATCTTTTCTCGGTCAATCATATGTCAACAGCGTCGTGGGAGCAGCAAAGCGCAATGCTTCAGGGCAATATTGATTTGATTATTTTCGCATGAATAATTTTTGCTGATACAAAGTTGTAGTAACTTCGGCGATTTAGCGAAAAGGTGAGTGGTTATTCCGCAACACTATCCGCTATATGGCGCTGCCGATATTTCAAAACGGTGTGGGTACAGAATTATCAATTCGGGACGTAATAAGCGACTCAGTTCAAACCGAAATTTTGGCAGTAAGTTCTGCTTGTATGTATTCGTTGCTTCATAGCGTTCTAGGGCATTTCTCATAGTGCTCGCTACTAACATTATTCCCGACTTCACAAATTATTCATAAAAAACCATTGCCAATTCAAATCGACGACAAAATATGGAACGGAAGCACAAGAACTGGGCAGGGTTTTCAAATCGGCTCAAAATATATTTTTTGGCCTTTTAGACCATTGTTACATAATTTTTAGTATTAAAAACCCAAAAAAAAGGCATTTTTCTGTAGATGAGGACAGTTTTTATAATGGTCAAAATTGGTTGAAAATAAGGCCAAAATCGCCATTTAAAATTTCCATATTTGCGTAGAATAAGTGTTGCAACCTGTGCAATTCGAGTTGTTTTCGCATTTGGTTTTACTTCGTATTTAAAATGAGACTTTTTAATAAAGATAAATGTGAAGATAAAGAAAGATATGATGAAGGCCAAATTGAAGATAAAGACGAAAATGAAAACAATGAGAATACAACACTATAGTACATAGGCACCTAAAAGGGTAAGAAAATGCAATGAAATGTTTCGATAAGGTTCATCAGAAATTTAGTTATCGAAAGTTATCAAGTTTCTTATCACCAAAGTTTATAGTTATCGAAATTTATCGGATCAGCCCTGTTTATTAAGTTATGGGAATGTATCGAGTTATTGAAATTGATCAATGTTTATTGAGTTATCGAAATTTATCTAGACGCAGAAACTTAGTTGTTGAAATGTACCGATTGTTATCGATTTATACAAATGTATAGTATTGTCGAAATTTATCAATTTAGTAAAATTTTATGTTATAAATCTATTGATTAATCAAATTTATGGAGTGACTAAAATGTATATAGTTATCGAAGTTTTTCGAGTTAATGAATTTATTAAGTAGTGTATCAAGATCCTTAAAATTATCGAGCTATCGATTTCTATTTATTTACCGAAATTTGTTGCTAGTTATTGAAATTCGTCGGTTTGTGGAATCGAAGTTTTTGGAATTTTCAAAGTATATCGGGTTATCGCAATTTCATGTATCTATTGAGTTATCACTACTTATCGAGTTATCGACATTTAGATATAGAAATTTCTGAAGCTATCAAAACCGAGCTATCGATAAACAAATATCAAGGTGTGTTAATTTTTAAGTTATCGAAATTCATCTAGTTCTGGAAACGCACAGTTATCGATATTTGTAGAGCTATCGAATTTTGTCGAGTTATCCGAATTTAGTGTTACTCGCATGCATGTGAAAAATGCATCACCACTCTAAAGATTCCCAGTGGGAAATGTAGTAATGCATTGCATGCTGGATAAATAATGTAATGTTTTTCTTATGAGTTTTAGATTCTATTACTGTTTAATGTGTAATCAGAATTCTAATAAACATATATAATAAATTCCAAAAATTTCATATTAAAGCACATAGATTTCTCGATACTAGGTAATGCAAAACTGAATGCCCCAATTGTCTTAGAAAAAATTATTTACGAATGTGAAAAGGGTTGTTTTTACTGATTATTTTTTCGATTACCATACATTACATTTTCCCACTGGATGTGGTGGATAAATAAAAAGTTGTGAATGATCAAATGAACACGAGCAATGGTTTTTTGTATTAAATATGAACAGGAAAGGATGTTACTCCTACGCCACGACGAGTATGTACGAGTGTGGCGTATGAGTAACATTCTTTTCTGCTCGTAAGTGTTGCATTTACAACTTTTTTGTTTATTCATAGATTTTCTTCGTTAGTACAAAGCTGGATTTTGTTGTCGTAACCTGGACCGGCATTTGAAGCAATGATGCCCGGGGCATAAATGGCGCGATGCGCTCTTTGATGATGCTTCTTTTTCTTATAGAATAATCAAAGTATGAAAAAAATTTCGAAATTACTAATTTTTATTATAATCAAAATTTTCAAATATTAATTACAAAAATTTTACTTTGTGGGCTTTTGATTGAGGAAAATTTTTCGTTGGTTATGAACAAGTTAATCTTAGTAGCCATCTCGTTTTCTATAGATAAGATAGCTAAAGCGTTTAACCTTTCTTCATGAGTTTCAATTTCGAAAAAACTTCGCTTCCCGCTGGCAACAGTTACTGGCAAAATCAACAAAATGGCGGCAGCGATGTCCATGTTTACTCAGGAGATTCAATTGTAGTAGGATGTTATATGTAGTTATGTATATATGAATAAAAATTGTATGCTTGCGACCACAAAAAAAAGCTAGAATTGCAACATTCCTTTTTTAAATAGTTAAGAACATAAGTAATTTTTATCAAATTTACTTTATCTCTAATTTTTTCATCCACAGGTGTATTACCTATACTTGTACATTGGAAGTATGATATTCCTGCTCTTCATGTATGCAACACTGCTTTGGGGTCGTCCAAAAATTCCAGTGAATATAAGTAAGTACAAAAAATAAAGAACATCAAAGGGAATTTAAAAAAAAACCGAACACAATGCCAAAAGGCAAAGCGGCATCCATTAGTTCCAAATAACCAATTTGCATCCAAAAGTTCCAATTCATACTTTCAATTAAATGTCGCCGTAACATTTAATTTTTGCTTCTGGACTCGAAATCATTACGCACACATACGTATATGCATAGAATGAAAAAATGGAGTGAAAAAGCTGAAAATAATAATTAATCAAAAGGCGAATAACGAATAAAAAATAGGGTATTGGTAATTAAAATGTTTTTCCAGCATTTTATTTATTTTCATTATTGCGCTCTTGTCATTACCAAACATCAACGTTAATCGCGCCGAACATCCTTTTTTTCACAATTAAACAACCAAACAGCTCTTACAAACATTTATGTACACCACAAACCATGCATATAAACATTAATGATATTTTATCCTTTCTACTCTCTGTTTCTTCCTTCCATTTCTGCAGCATCACCCAGTAAATCCGCTTCAAAAGCACGCTCTTCCACTGCCTCGGATAGTATGGACGAATCGGACACTGACAGCAATTCGACGCACACCAAACGCATACCAACGGTGATACCGGCCCGAAGGCCCTCGCTGTTGGCACCGCTCGGTCGACAACATCACTATGGCTCCTTCTATCTGCGCATGGGTGCAGTGGGTGAGTATTTATGTATGTAAATATGTAGCATAAACTTTGGGAGATGATGCTAAATCATCTACCACATATACTACTAGCATACATACATATGAACATAAGGACGTTGAAGTGGTAAAAGTGAAGCGGCAAAGTTGAACGAAGCAAATTCTATATGTATGTAGTTTTAAATATCCTTTTTTATTTATGGGTGCATGTTTATGTACTTGTGGAGGTCCATATACTTCTACTATGCATATCAACCGTCCGTAGAGCATCTTGAATTGCGTGAAATAAAATCGCGAGCTCTCGCATATATATTCGTTGAATTTATGAAGATTTATTTGCTGACTGTACAGCGTAAGCATTTTTATGCATTTAATGAAAATTTATGAAGCTGCAGCGCTAGACGTACATATATAGATGTATGTATGTACTTGCATACCAGTACTGTTCCGCGTAAATTATTTTGCAACACTCTCACTGTAAGTGGCTTTTTTATGGGCCCGCAAAACTGAGACAAGTCAG